TCATTTTACAAGGCGCATACGTTCCACGTAAAAAACCACATATTTTTCTATGCCATTAAAAAGATATCATACCGCGTCCATAAAACTTTAATGGATGCGAACTATGTTGTACATCTCATGAGGAGCTGTGGTAAACGGCGAGGTACGATGCTGTGTGAATGGGCATTGCGAGGTCTTAAAAAATCTCGTAATTAGAAAACTTTTTTAAAACCTAATTATACTCCTTCTTTGAGCATAAAATATAAGGAAGGCGTGATTCGTCATTAATTGACTGAAAGAAAGCATATTTTTGTTAATGGTTTCTATAAGATATATTTGAATTTGCAAGACCATCGAAAATCAATGGGAAAAATGCCCGCTACTTAAGTAGTCATTTTTTACCGAGTACGGTTTCTACAGGAGATTGAAAAATAAGTGTATTCAAAAGCTGAAATCCTGCCGAGTGCGAAATATTATAGGATTATGCCGCAAGATAGTTAGTATTACAACCACACCTAAGCAATCCTTCCTAATCGAAAACGCATTTCGGGATTTCAGCCAATATCTTATGAGATCGATCACTTGCTGTAATTGTCATCTCCAGGAAGCTCACCGTAAAATGAGAGGCAGTAATGTTGGAAGTGTAGTTTTAGTGGAAAAAAATCATCAACATATTCTCTACTGCATTCAAAAATTCGCACAGAAACCGATTATGTCATGTTAATTTACGGGCCACAATCCCTTGGCTTCCCAGCTGAAGCTTATTTCGTAGGAAATTTCTATCCTTCTGGGTTGCCTTGAGTACCGATTACAAAGATCATTTATCATGGACAAAATCAAAAGGGGCACTTCTTTTGGTCGTTGTCTAGGGAATCACTTTCTCACAGTTTGCATTTCAGTAGGTGAAATATTTCGGCTCTTCCAAAAGGTTGTACTTTAAGCACTGGTTGGGGCAATTGTTTGAATACGGCTGTGGTCATATAATCTCGCTTCGCAGGCAAATTTGCAGTTGCGATGAACCAACTATCTCTTTTGCCCGCCCTATAGGTCAGATCAGGTTCTTTGCGCTAATCGCGGTCATCTACCTGAGTTTACGCCTCAAGTTAAGACCGTTCCCGGGTGTAAAAAGACAGGCGGCAACCAAGCCGTGGGGGAGAGAGGGCGCAGAAACGTTAGAAATGAGTAGGATGGGAAAAGCCTGTGCGTTTGAGGGTCTCCAAAATGCAGGCTTGAAAAGTCGAGCGGAACTTCCAACTGCGGTGAGTAACCGTCTCGCATCACATCTGTTGTTGATACCGCCTGCCGAACGGCAGTCTCCCCCCTAACGTGATTTCTAATCCATGTTCGAGTCCCAGACAAATTCGTGCGGTTTATAAATGCGCAGTTTAGGTAGCAGCCTCCCAAAACTCGATTCACTTCCTGGCTTTGGTGCCTACACTTAACAAATTGTAGGTATGCCTCCAAGGGAAATTTCAGTATATGTGGAGGAGGTAGTGGGCAATGCCTTCAAAACCGTACTCTGTACTCGGCGCGTGGTGCTAACAGGCGAATGCAGGACGAAAAAAATGCGCTACACGGGCTACTAATATCGTTAAAGTAGGATCGTTATTACACAAATATTCAGGAGAACGAAAGGGTTGACGAGGATCGTGATGATTCCCGCGCTGTGTTTTCTTTTAGATGTCGTCAGAGCAACGACTCATTCTTCCTTTTGTTGCTTGCGGTGATCTCTCCGGTTACGATGCTGACGCTTGTTACGAACTGGACGAGGACTATGTCTCCCTTGACCCTGTCCAACCCCCCATTGACCCGGCCTATCTAGAGGTTTGCCGCAAAGCGCGCTCAAAGGCAGCCCATGATGAAGCGGCTACAATCACCGAATTGATGGAGGCCACTAAACTCACCTGACTCTCCTCGCCGTCGCCCATCCTCTGTCCCTTGTCTATTTTTCACAAATACACCGTTTTCCTACATCCTTTTTTCTTTGTCTTTGTTAACAATTTGTAGCTTGCTCTGTTCACCTCCTTCTTAATATTATTTTGGGCTATGCGATGATTTTGTATGCTGGATTTCTTCTAGTTCGAATTTAGGACTAACATTTCCCCTCCGGGTAGGAAACATTTCTTTACGGATTTTTACATCTCTTTTGTGCCATACCGCCAACATGCCTCGTAACATCAGAATCTTCGCTGTTGCCATGAACTCTCTTTTCCTCTAGAGCCCATTTATGTATATATGTATATATTTGGAGAGTTAGAGGCAGAGCCCTTGATGACCCTATTTATGTACAGTGCTTTCGCAGATTCGTACTCAAAAATAACACTGCAGGCGTTTACAATGTGATCGGGTCACAGTTCACTCGTAGCCATAAGGTAGTGCATAAGGGCACTGTAAATTAGTGCGGAAGGATAGTATATGACAGTTTTTTACAAAACTGGCTGTGTATAGTCATGCTATAAAAGCCGATTTCTGTCGAAAACTAGACGAGCAAGTTTTCTTTTAAACAAATTGTGTCAGCCGTCACCGTCTCTCTTGGAAGCGAGTTCCACGGTCGGACAACCCGCTGGCTGAATGAAATTTTCGACGGTCTAACCGCGTGCGCTCATTCCCGTCTTTGTAGGCATGGCCGCTTAGTTGGTTTGTACGGGTAAACTCAAAGAAGTCCTCTGCTCTTAATGAGCAACCCTGGCCGCGGACAGTCCGGAACGTCCAAAGCAGACTGCAGTTTATTTGTCTATAAGAGAGAAGGAATAAGCCAAACAAATTCAGCCTCTCCTGGTAAGACAAATACTTAAGACCGTCGACCATCTTTGTCGCTCTGCGTTGCACCTGTTCGAGTAAGTCGATATCCGTCCTCATCCATGGTGAAGCTGCTGGCATTCCATACTCTAGATGAGGTCTTACAAAGACACCAAAGAGCCTTTCGAAGAGTTCGGGAGGAAATATTTTAAATGCATATAATTGTCTTCGCGGTCATTTTCGTACGCACAGCGTCCCGGTAATGCTAGTAGACAGTGTGTATCGCACAATAGTGTTCGGCTGGCTGTTGTTCGTCCGCAATAGGAGGTGAAGGCATTCTCAGCGTCAACCACATTCACCTCTTAGGGTTTTAAGATATTGAGCCTATGCGTTGCCCGGACAGAAGTACACGCAACCAATTTGTTTAATAGCTATTCTAGTGTTTAAACCATGTGCTCCTTCTGCCAACTCGACGTGTTCTACGAAAGAAACCGAATGACCACGCAATGGCACGAACGAGGGGCCTGGAAACTCGCTATCCTACTAAGTTGGGTTACAAAAATCGGATTACTTTGTTGATTCAATCGTGAGGGTGGTGGCGGCGGTGGTGGTGGTGGTGAAGGGAACCAGGTCAGCCGTACTTTCTACACCATTGTCCGTATCTATCGCCTGCGATCGTCATTTCTCAAGCCCGAACTGCCCTAGGTATGCATGATCATCTGGCTTGGGCAGTATCCACGACCCAAAAAGATCGGCATCGACATAAATTACAGCTAGTGCAAGTTTCTCATTCCACACTTTCCCTTGGTTATTCTCCGATGCTCAACAGTCCGCCGTTTAAAAGGTGTAACAGATTCCATGATCTTCCTGGGACTTGCGCCCTCCGGAAGGTCATGCTTAATGACTCTGCGGTTATATCTTTTTCCGACTGATTAGCGCCTCCCGGATATTATTTTCTGATCTGGGGAAGTGGGCTGTTGTTTAATGTCTCTTATGCGATATTGCCGAATCCGCAACAATTTTGCATCCATCTTTCGTCAATTGACGACCCATGCCCTTATACCCCTTTTTGACGCACTTCGTTGCAGTGAAGGCGCTGACTGTTCGCGT